GGCGGAGGAGGTGGTGGAGGTGGTGGAGGCGGCGGCGGCGGAGGTGGTAATGAGTATGATGGAGGAGGTGGAGGAGGTAATACAAATGTTGATGCTGATGATGGTGCTGATGATGAGAGAAGAGGTTGAATAGAGGAAACGAGCGTTGTTGTTGATGGCCAATCCATTCGAGATCGTCGTATCAAAGGTGTTGTTCTCTTTTCAATGCCTGCTTTACGATGTTTGCCGAGTAAATCGTCCACATTGTTCTTCTTTTTGATGGTTCGATTCTTTTGCATTGATAATCGCACTTCCAAACCCAGGATCTTGAGATTCGCTTCCCTACGTTCCTTCTGAATAGCTTCCAATTGCTTGTTGCACTCCTCAATGGCTTCCATCAAATAATCCATCTCGCTATCCATATCATCATTGGCTGAAGATGGTGATGGTGCTGTTTTATAAGAATCTTCAGAGGTGACGGATTCATTGTCGCATATCATGGGATCGTTTTCGGGCGGTGTAGGTGGTCCTGAATCAATATCCAATTCTGTCATCCCAGCATTATCGAGTTCTGTATCGAGCGCTGCAGCTAATTCAGCCTTGCTGTCATCTATCTCTTTGCTCACTGCATCGATCGATTGCTGTAAATCATTATTCGTCGTCGTCGTAGTAGTCGTAGTTGTTGGTGTTGGAGTTGATGATGATGATGTTGGTATCGATGGCGATGAAGGGGTGGTATCCAGGGTCTCTTTGAATTGTTTTGTCTGGATAGGATGTTGTTGTTGTTGTTGTTGTTGTTGTTGTTGCTCATCATGCTGCTGTTGCTGCTGTTGCTTTTCCACCTTTTGCTTTCGAAGCATCTCCTTTTCAGCAATCAACATCTTAAGCTTGGCGATTTCTTGTTGCTTTGTGAGTTCTTGTTGTCGTGCTGTAATCCTCGAATGATCGATCTTTGGTGAATTTTCTCGTGCAGGACTGAAGGCTCCATTCGATATCGCAAACGGTCCATACATATCCTCAATATCTTCAGCCTCTGGATCAGCTTCCTCCAAGTCATTCAGGTTAATCACAATGGTCTCTTGAGGATCAAGTACAAAAGGTCGTACGCCAGCATCCAATGCAGCTTGCAATCTGTTGTCGGGAGTGGGATGCGTCAAGACACTACAAGGTTGGAGACGTCGTCAGCGTCCATTGCAAGGGCCATGCTCCTCATCACCAACACTCACCTTTGAACCACTGGTTGTTCAGTGTCTGATATATCCATATCACTATCGTCTGAGAGAAGAATGGGATCTGCAGCACTCATTTCATTGCTCGCTTCGGGATTAGGGAAACGGGGGAAAACGTGGCGGAACCAGCAAAAATTCTGAGAGGGGTGTATTTATGCGGCCAACAGCCGATAACGTCGTCTAGTAACCACCCTTTCTTTACTCTCTACTTGAACACCCAACGTATTAATGCTTATCCAAGTCAAATGCCCCATCCTTATTCTTGCTACATACCATTTTCTGAAAAAGAGACACACCTTTATTATCCCCATTTTGGTTGTATGTCCCCATTGGGCTTTTTATCAATCACAATCTTTTGTCTTTATTGCATCATTGACCTAAGCGCTCCCCTTTGATCGACTCTACCGGTCACTGGGAAGGATATGTAATGGATGCATCCTTTCGTATACACGTGTTACTTTCTTGTACCTTGAAGGACCTCAACGATGGCGAATAAGTGATCGATGCTATACGCACGTGACAGTAAGTGGATGGACATGCATCAACGTCCAGTATCTCAGCGATTTGGCGGAATACGCTCTTGAACCATGCCTTCCTCACCGCTCTTCTCTGGGAATGCAGACAGCCTATTCTCTCAACACAACGTCGACAATGATACCCATGAGGAACTGGAAATGCGTGGACCAGCAACAACAACCCCCATTGCCATCAACAAACACGATGAAGCAGCTCTCGTGTCGCGTCTCGATAGACGACTTTTATGCTTTGCTATGTTGGGAAACCTCGTGAAGACGATGGATAACACGAATATCAGTACGTATGATACACAACACAAGGAGATGATATTGATGCAATCATGGGTAGATAGTGCGTTTATCAGTGGTATGGAACAAGAGCTTGATATGCATGGCGTGGACTTCAATTGGTTGACAGTGCTATTCATGATTGGATATCTCAGGTAAGGGCAACGGGTACAATTAAGATGGAATATTGATCTATACTGCTTTAGTATGCAAATCCCATCCAACATGCTCCTTTCAAGATTACGGCCTTCCTTATACCTACCAATGATGGAGATTGCCTGGGGTGTCTTGACACTTGGCATGGCATGTGTACCATCTATACATATGGCCTATATCTTACGCTTTTTCCTTGGTGCTTTCGAAGCTGGTTTCTATCCTGGCATCGTTTTTCTTGTTGGTACTTGGTATTCACGCAAAGAACTCGGGAAAAGGAACGCTTGGATTACAATGTGTGGATCATTGGGTGGTGCCCTGACCGGATTAATGCAAGCTGGCTTGCTAAAATGGTTCGATGGTACTCTTGGAATCAGTGGGTATGTGTAATTCAACCTCATGCTTGGTTATTGACATGTACCTTTCTCACACCACGTGCTTGACAAGATGGCGATGGATGTTTGTGTTGGATGCTGCCTTGACCTTTTTACTCGCAATCTATGGATACAAGTACCTCCCGGATTACCCCGACAACACGTTATGGCTTAGTCAAAAGGTAATTGGATTACGCTTTATTTATAGTGCTAATGTTGATGACCCTATGAACAATAGGAACGTACTTTGGCTGTTGAACGTTTACAACGTGAAGGTCACGAGACAAAGAGTGGATCTTTACCAACAATGGCACTGTTACGCAAGGTCATTGCCAACAAGTTTCTTTATTTTTTCGTGCCAGGTTGGACCTTGACACATTTGGCTGTGGGAGCTTCCCATGTACTTGGAATCGTAGCAAAGAAAAGCGGGTACGATGCAATCACGGCGAATTTGTTTACTTCAGTGAGTCAATAATGGTAATCGATAATAAGGGGCACGGCTGACAAGTCATCATTCACAAGCCAGATCTCATCATCAGTATGTTGGCGGGGATTACCAATGGGTTTCTCAGCGACTACCTTGGATCACGATTGATGTAAATTCATTTCCTTTGGCTACATGTGCTCGTAAATGGCTTTTATTGATATGTTTCTCACCACATGGGTGATTCAGGTGTATTCTTCCTCAGCTTGCGATTGCAACAATTGCCTACAGGTAAGGTACATTACATTGTGGACTCTTGGCTACTCTATTTAACGCATCCCCACAAGCCTTTTGGTGATTTTTGTACAGCCATTTGGGTTCTTGTACTTTGCTTTTATCTTGATGCATGCTAGTTTGGCTGCGACAGCACCGGTGAGTTTTAAATCAATACCTATGTTGATGAGGATGATTCATTGACTACTACTGCACTTAGGTGATTATGACTTGGGCCAGTGAGATTATACGAGAAAATGTGGAGCAACGAGCCATATCGATAGCAATCATGAATACCTCCTCCTCTGCAATGTATACTTGGGCTCCTCTTGTACTTTGGCCAGTGACTGATGCTCCATTCTATCGCAAGTATCCCATTCTGATATAAATGAACCAAATTGTGATAGCTAACTGTATGCGTAACAGGCACTGGATTTCGAGCGGGCTTCGTCTTTGTAATTGCAAGTGCTGTGTGCTTTGCTATCATTGGTTGGTTGGTTAGGAAAGATCCATCTCGGAAACCAAAGGAAGACGATGATATTCAGCGGGAAGATGACATACCTTTGCTGATGGCTCAGGAAGAACGGCTTTCTTAACCATAAGATGTTGGCTTTGTCGATGTAGCATGAATGTCTTGGATTGAGTAAAAGATAACCTTAACACCGACCGCCGATTGTTAATAAACACAACTTTATTACAAGAGCTAAATCGCATAAAGTGATGTGTTTGAGGGTTGTTGACAAGATTATCCACACAAACAAGGGAGGAGGGTTATACGATGGAAGATAGCCTTTGTTCAAGACACAATGAATCAATCACACCCATTCTCTTTTTCTCTATCACAGCATTCACTGCTATTACAATCTATCTTTCTATAATGCTGTGCATCAAGTGACAAACATGACGAGGTCCAAAGCAAGAAGAAAGGTCGCTTACACTATATGAACATGGAAATGGGTGGCCAGCACAAGCTCGGATTTGATAAGTAATCTTTATTCCAACATCATCAAAGAAGTACAATGTGTTGCTCTAATGGAGATACGTCGATATGGGAAGTTTCTCTCCTTTGCCCTGTATTTTGCAAAGATGGATGGATGTACGTGAGATGGTGAATTACATGCATGGCATATCAAAACTGGAGCTGAATAATGATGGTTGTGCATGTTGACAGGTTGCACAAAGGATGATGATAGCAACTCCCCTGAAATAGCGTGTAAAGTACGATAACCGGATGCACCAATGTTCAGGATGCCACCATCACGGTCAAGGTGACAATGAAGATAACAGCGCAAGGCTCCTTTTTCCAAGCGTTGTATGTAACTTACCAATTTGATTCTTCTGATATTGGATGATGTTTCTGTGTTTGAGCGTTTTTCAGTCAAATCTCCTCGGATCAAGAATGTTCAATGATGGGCATGCTGGGCTGGAGCAGGACAATCGTTCGTATCCATTGGATTGGACAACAATGAAGAATGGGAGGACTAAGGTTATTAGCTGGCATTTTGAACTGTTCCTAAATAGTGTACAAGAATCATGCATCGCCTGTGCTGAATGACTCAAGTTACACAAACACGCCCTCTGCATCTTTTGCTCTATTACAGTCATACTACTTCACATTAAACAAAGACCACTTCTCATATAGCATCACCCTTACAGCATATGTAAAACATAAAGGTGCCTGTATCTCCAAACTTTACAATCAAACGTGAGCTCTTTAATAGATCAACGTGCTCGTCGGGGTCAAAGGAATCTTGTGTCAAGTATGAAGTTCATCGTGGGCAATCCCAGATTTCGCAATGTCGCCACCAGCCAAACTGGATCCAGGGGTCGACCTCTTGAAACTTTTTTCGACGACCAAAAAATATTTTTTGGGCTGTTTGCGACATTGAACGCGAACCTTTCACACAAGGTGCTGTTGGCCAAGCCGAGCCCATTGCTGTAATAAAAACCCCACGTTTGATTGTAAAGTTTGGAGATACAGGCACCTTTATGTTTGTAAGTGTGATGCTATAAGAAGAGTGGTCTTTGTTCATTGTCAATTTGTAGTGTTTATTGTCTACCGCGTCATGTGGACGCATTTAAAGAAAATCTAAAAAGGGAGGAGCTAATCTCCGAAAAGAAAAAGGAACGACAAACAAGATGTCAAATCTTGCACATTGATAAATACACTTTACGGCACCATATCATCCGTGGGTGCTGCACTAGAAGGTGGTGGTGGTGAAGAAATATCCATGCTAGTAGCCTTGTTGCCTGGAGGATCGGCTAAAAGGACAGGGTCAGGAGGCGCAGATGTGGTCAGTGGATTAGATTCGGTCTTTTCAGTCTTTGAAAGAGTGGGGCTGAAATTAAAGTGGAGCTGCTGGGGAGGTGATAGTGTGCGTTGTCGTTTTGAGATACCAGATTTAGACAATCGAAAAGTAGGCGAATCCTTGTCGGGAATATCTGAGATAGCAATGTTGTTATTAGGCAGGGGTGCTGAACCATGGCGTACAGGGCAGTCTTTACGAAGGTGACCTAGTTCTTGACAATGATGGCATCGTGGTTTGGGCTTGTTTGGACATTGAATTCTTGTGTGACCTTGGTGATGACAATAACGACAATATAGTGGCATTTTGGACCAAGTGGCATGCATACGGGAAGGGAAGGATCCATCCTTACGTGAGATAGTAATACAATGAGTCAGCTCGTTGGGGATGAAAGGGAGTGCTTTGTTTGAATTGGCGTCTGGGTTGGGGTTAACATTGATGTAAGCAAAACCTTTGCCGGTGAAAAAATTTTGCTCAAGGTAAGTGCCGAGTTGAACGATCTCTCCAAAAGGCTGAAGGGCTGTTATGAGGGAGGAGCAGAGGACGTCACGAGTGTACAGAGGGATGTGATCGAGATTGAGTTTGACAACATCCCATTCATCAGGAATTGGGAAAGAACCGTAGACTTTTGTGTCATCGTTAAGAGAAATGGGAGTATCAAGATGTTTTTTGCATGCTTCTTGGCTGTTGAATGCAACTTCGGCAATAACGTGTTTGCGGGATCGATGTACAATGACACCATGGGCATCTTTGCTGACAGGGGACTTGCCTACAGCAAGTCGAAATTGAGCATCTGAAAGCTGAAAGGGTGACAGATCATAGAGTAGAGCATTTGGATTATCAGCACGGCGCCATACTTGACGAGGGTTGTTGAGTGATGTGGATGTTGGCAGGATCAAGGTGTCACGTTCGTTGAGAGCAGAGGCATACGTTATGGTTTTGTCAGGGGGTGGTTTCTCACCCGGGCTAATCTGAACTTTATCGGGAAGACCCATTGTGTTCATTGTCAAGTAGGTGGACCCTGGCAGAGCAAAAGATGCAGAGGGTCGTGTTGTGTAACACAGCTACGTTTGCATGAATGGAAGGGTCAATGTATAATTACTTTATAGATCATCTAGGAACAGGCATGTATTGCTAGCTAACGGCCACTTTTATCCAATCATCATTGCTCCGAGATCCACTGCATGGGAACGATGCCCCTACTCCAGACATTCATTTCCATGATTAAAGTAGGTTGATCCGTGCTGATTTGACTGAGCTGCGGCCAAAGAGAGATTACATCACTCTGCACATAAAGCACGCTCGATGTAGCTCAACCGATGGAATCTTGTGTGAGCGTAACTCAACCAAATCAGCTCGGATCAACCTACTTTGATCATGGAAATGAATGTCTAGAGCAGGAGCATCGTCCACCTACAATAGAATGCACAAAAGTTGGAATGCACAAAAGTGGCTATTAGCTGCCAATGTATGACATAAAAGTGAGGGTTGCGTACCTTTCATGCATTGTCCCTGAAGTCCTGACTTTTTAGCTGAGTTACCCAAAGAGGTCCTTCTGCATCTTTTGCTCTATTATAGTCATACTACTTTACATTAAACAAAGACTACTTCTCATATAGCATCACGCTTACAAACATAAAGGTGCCTGTATCTTTAAACTTTACAATCAAACGTGGGGTTTTTATTAGAGTAATGTGCTCGGCTTGGCCAACTGCACCTTGGGTGCCAGTTTCAAGTTCATCGTGGCTAATACCAGATTTCGCAATGTCGCCACCAGCCAAACTGGATCCAGGGGTCGACCTCTTGAAACTTTTTTCGACGACCAAAAAAATATTTTTTGGGCTGTTTGCGACATTGAACGCGAAACTTTCACACAAGGTGCTGTTGACCAAGCCGAGCCCATTGCTCTATTAAAAATCTCACGTTTCATTGTAAAGTTTGGAGATACAGGCACGTTTATGTTTTACCTATGCTGTAAGCGTGATGGAGTTGCCTTTTCCTAGTGGATGGTGTCGGCTGCATTAACGGAAAGATGAAGAACTGAGTGAAACGGCACGTGGTGGTTACACAGACACGTCCTTGACAGGTTGCTACATAAATGGATGATGATGATGATTGCCTTTTGTGAAGGTACGTAAGTAAACAGCATCCAATAATGAAGGTGCGTCAAGGTATGCATCACATTTGCATGTAGAAGAAAGTCGAGCTGCATAAACCAATTTGTATATGTAAAAAGATACATATACATATTGAATGAGTCACTCATCCTGAAACTCAATGGAGGGATCTCTTCACTTTTTCTCTTCTCAAGCTCATCCCACTTCCCACTCCTCCTTATTGTGTCACAAAAGCCATGTACTTCTTAACCGGACCACCTTTATTATTCCATCTTTGAAGCAATAGTATGTAATCCACAAGCTAGTAACCCTCCAACAAGCGTGTAATAAATAAACAATGCTTTATTTCATCTAGCTATCTTGCTATGTACTGTACATTGCCACCACCATCCTCGTAGTCGTCCTCCGTCATCATTCGTATTCGTACTCGTACTCGTCACCAGTCGTCAATCTCATCCGTCATACCAACATCCAAAAATACACAAGTTGAAGAGAATGGGATCTTGGAGGCTCCCTTTTGAATCTCGTTGTCGTCATCATTGTCATTGTTGTAGATGGGGTGATCATCGTAATCGCCGTCTCTACAAATAAGAAAGCAGGCAAGTTAGACCATCTGATACCGGGAATGATGACGATTTGGTATACCGTTAGGCGATCCTCTCTAAGGAAGAAAGCAAATCAGAGGAATTCACAAACCAAATCACCACCATACGAGCAACGTCGAGCGATCCCTTGTTCTTGAGAAAGCACTGCACGAATCACGCAAGGCCAGTTCGATCCATGGCAAGGAAGGACATCACTTACGTGTAGAGTCCAGGCTCATAGTTGTTCTCATTCATCCTCTCCAAAGAAAGAATGATCCCCAATCCTTCCAATCATTTCCCACCTCATGAAAAGAAATCCTCAAGGGAAAGAACGAGCCTATCACGAGAAGAGCGTGTTGGTTCAACACATTCATGAGCTGTTGCAAATCCTCTTTTACCTCAACACGGTGACCATGCTCTTCCAAAAACCATCGTCATCGACCCATACTCAACTCAACGCAGGCCTATAGAGCCCTGGACGTGTTCCAAGAAGCTTTTCCAGCAAACCGGCCACTTGATACAGGCTGGGACTTGAACCCAAAGAGATGATGATGCCCCAAGTTGCATTGCCTGACCATAGAAACCTATTCAATTCATTATTAGCACACACACAATAAACACCCTTTTCATTGTTTGTTTCATTGTACTTGCCTTTTCCATATACACAAAGACCCGTTGTTGTTGGTTACTGGAAAACGAAAACCATGGTGTAGTATAGTTGAGCCGAAACAAAACGCCAAACCAGCCAACGTCTTGAAACCGAACTTGCCCTCTATACAAGCTGACGCGTCAATGGAACCAATTCGGCTGCAACATTGGACTCTGAATGTACCTGTTGACACCAAGCGTATAGCGGGAATAGCAACGAACAAGAGGAAGCAACCATATCGCCATGGCAACCACCAACCACCTACCACGCTCATTCCTCAGCACTTGGACACACTCATTCCCTGACAATGCATGTTCAGAACTACATTAACACCTCACATCCAACAAGAGCACTTTTTTATAATACATTACCTTGATCGAGATGTCGTGAATGGAATAAGGAAAGGTGGGAGAAAAAGGAGAAGCGTTGTCTCAAGTCGTGGAGCTGCTGTCCCCTAAGTTTAAATCCCCTACTGCTATTACACTGAGGCTACTCAATTACCCTATACACACACTATCCACCCATCATCATCCTCGTAATAGACAATAGGTACATGTAAATAAAAGCTATAATCCTCACGAAGGGTGTGCGCCATTTTACACTTTACATGATAATGATGATCCAACAACACCCATCGCCTTACTACCAAGTTAGCTCGAATCAAGGAAGTTAAGTGATGGGCATGCTGGGCCGGAGCAGGAGAATCGTTCACATGCATTGGATTGATCAACCAAGGTGAATGAGAGGAATGGGCTGCTAGCTGGTAGCTTACATACAAATCATTGTGCACAATGATTATTTGATGTATATAAACGGCCCGAAGAACTGATGTATTCGCTGTCGTGAACATTGTTTCAGGGCAGCTTATTACAGAGATAATCTCATATCGTAAGTATGGATGTCAAAGGATTGTAAGCTCTTGTAAAGATGAACACTACGAGATTTGCATAAAAGTGTGAGCTTATTGTAAGATCATTACTCCACTGTATAAGTAATGTTGTTAAACCATTTACGAAAACGCTTACGAGCGAAGCCAACAACGTGGGCCGTTAGTTGAGATGGTATGTATGTACTCTGATGGTTGCTATGGTGACACATGACGTGTAAGCTTGACACTTGATTCGTCATTTTTTGACGCCATCACCACTGCAAAGTAATAGCGTAAAGGCTCAGCATCCCATTGATCGGATGATGATGGCGGCGGCGATTACAAATATGCATAAAGGTGGTATGTGCGACGTGAGCCGTGCACCACTGAACCGCCAAATGGGTCAAGTAGCCTCGTGAATAGTTGGTGATACAACAATAAAATGCTGACCGATGCTTTGCCACTAGATCAAATTGCCTTTTCTTCCTCTTGGCTTAATAAACGCTATGCAATCTTCTCGATCGTCTGTAAGAAAAGAACATGCACATTTTGTTTTATTCAACCCATCACTTATAATACTACTTTAGCCAACATTACATAGTGCAGGAGGAAGGTCTACAGCTGTATCATTTAATACGATATTGAGGCAGCAGCAGCAGCAACAGGATGGGACACGCAAAGTGGAACTATCCAAGCTTAGTGATGATGACCTTAAACATGTGCTTTTCTTTCGACCTGGAGCCCGTGGTGATCCTAGTTATAGACGTATATCACAAGCAGCAATCGAGTACTGCAAAGATGTACAGGCACAAATGATGGATGACATTATTGGGAGGCAACCGACACACGCCTTGGAGCCCACTGACACTGATAACAACCCAGCAACAACAGGGGCAGCTGCTCTTGGGAACCCCGTTTCATCTCTTGATCCTGGTTTTCTTTATCCTTCCAACAACACCGATCACTCTATCGAAGCCTCAGCCGAATCCAGTCCTCATGATGACTCCATTGCAACCATTAACAACTACAACGACTTGATGCGACAAGCTGCATTGAATAGCCGTGATCGAGCAGCACGTTTACGTATCATGCGCATTCGCGACTTGGACCTTGAGCCTTTATTTGAGCTATTGACGCTTTGTCAACGACGGCCTCCTTCATTCACGAGTCTTCAAGACATGTTGTTATTGATACGCAACCTGGATCCTGGATCGGATGCTTCAGTGGTTGTAAGCAGTGCATGGTGGAACAACAATAGCAGCAGTGCAGTGAGCAGTGAAGAGATGCAACAACAAACACAACAAAGTAAACGCATCTGGGAGAGGAATATGGCATGTTACATCCATACCGCCAATACACTTATGGGTAACTTTCATGGGATGCTGCCATTTTGTTGGCTCAATCAAGCTTATCTTGCATCTATCCGTCAGGATCTGGCTGATGGCGACATTCATCGATTACCCAAAATCCCTACGCTGGAGGAACTCGATCGCTCTGGATATTCAATCAGTGCATTCCCACGTATTCAATATGGCATCAAGATTGTTGGCAAGGATGTTTCGGTGCAAATCTTATCATTGACGGATCTACGTTATCGAGATGCTGATATGAATATGGATCGTGACAATGTCGTGTGGAAGTATTATTGTGACAACATATTGAAGCTATCCAAACTGATACCCAACAAGCGGTCGTTCGATGTTGCCGTCGATGTTGGAATGATCCCACATGATATGCTGTCTCTTGTCGATTTCACTTGGTGGACAAACAATGTGATCAAGCTTGGTCGTGAAGTTCATGCAGCAGCCGTGGATCGACAAACCTACAATCTTTTCAGGAGGTTACATCGCGAATATTATTCAGTGTGGAGGACAATCAAGAGGGATTATGCGGAGCAACTCAAGTACAACCCTGTGCAATTCATTCTCAACATTGTCATGGCGATTGTTGCACTGGCAAGTCTCGTGTTTGCCACCACTGGTGTATTACAAGTACTTCAAGGCTTTTGCGTTTTCGGCGATGAGTATTGCTGAGCGAATTTACTCAAGGATCACATGAACACCCCCCCCACACACACACACACCATTTGGTCTGCGCCACAATGACCTATTTAAATTCGAGAACATTTGTATTGTTGCTCGCCCTTGTTTTTCCTTCATCACTCCAACCAATAATAAACAATGGTAAATCATCCAAAGTGAATCCATCATCTATCCATGAGATTGACTTTTTATAGCACTATCAAGCATCCAATGATTTATTACACCCTCTCGACCACCATCACAGCAACGACTATATCGGCACCTATCGCTCCTCAGTGATCCAATCCATACAATCCTATCCGCAGCTGCTTCCCAATAACTCTTCAAGGCCCACTATTTCAAGAAGCACTAGCAGCGACCAAAGTAGCCAGGGCTATCTCGTTTGTGTTGAACCATCGAATACAGCTTTATTATCAGAAATCACACATGCCTTTACACAACGCATCATGCAGCTACCACAATCACGTCCTGGTCAAGTAGTCTTTGATGGAGAGCAAGCCATGGTAAAGTATCGTGCGTTGGAATGGTGCCGTGGAATACATACATTGTGATGAATCTCTCACTCGACCTCATGTATGTAGATAGCGTTACGACGAGTGTTGCCTTACACAGGATACACCGATGATCATTGTGCCACCGTAGCTGATGCACTGATGCAATGCAAACCGACACCACTCTTTTCAATGATTCATCACGGTCATGGAAGCATTCCTTTCGACCACAATCAATCGTTCATTGGCTCCTCACAAATCAAGTATCGCTTACGGCATGATTCCACAATCACCAGCCCATTGGCATCTGGCATATTGAGTAGCTTGCTGCCATGCTATGTGCCTGGATGCACCCTTGGTTCGCTCAGCTGCTATTCCCCACGTTGTCCAAATAGGCCTTCCAACATCCTGAAAGAACTTATGCTCATGGTAAGTCTGCAACAACAAGGGATACCTCTAGCTAATGTATACATACAGCCACCAATAGCTTTTTCTGATCGCCCACTTTCAGTATTTGATGATGGTAGCCAGATTGTAAGTATCTAAAGAGGAAGGATCAAGTGGTGGTATATATGGACATGAGATTAATGAGGGAACGAGTAGGAAAGCAGGAGTAGCGTTGATGTTGAAATTATCGATTATCCTCAAGTGAATGAGCAAGCACGCCAAGATGCAATCCTCGCCTTTATCCAATGTGAACGAACGCATCGCAAGATAATGGATTGGTTACACCATGTGAGTATAAAGTGCAACAAGCATGACGTGGAGCTAATTTCATGTATGACCCTGCTACTAAAATAGGATATTGTGGAGACGATTCGCTCATCTGATGATGTTATCCTTGGTGGCCGGCGTGACGCTTTTATCGGCTATGTCTTTTACAACTATAAGGATCTTCGTTCTCAAAGTCGACATTTTTACTCTGATCTTTATTGGCGATGGACACATTATCACACAAAGCAGCAAAAGCCCGTTCCTATGATAGCGGATATCATGTTGAATCACCTCACTTTGCTTGAATCACATATCAAGGAATACATCCCACGCATCCCTATTGCCAGGAACATTATGGATCACGAGTTACAATGCAATGAGAAATTGACTACCCTCCTCACCTACTTGGAAACCAGCGATATGGCAAGACGAATGATGCCTCGAAGGAACAACATCGATGTCACGTGCACCAACATTGTGCTTGAATGCTTGTCCCATCCTCAACGGCAACTCTTGTTATACTCAGAGCACATTCAGCGACTACAACAAGTGACCAGCCCAGCCCACCCTGATTATGCGTTCCTCAACCTATGCGCCCAGATCGTTAACCGGATTGAACATGAGTCGATGCAAGCTATGAAGGAAACCATTGAGCGAGTGTCTGTATTATGGCTACATGATTCGTTGGTGTGTACAGAACCTGGCGAATTTTATGATCTACAATTGACAAATCCAGAACGGCGCATACTGTGGGAAAGCAAATTGTTACCATCTGCATCATCAACAGGGACAAGCAGCAAGAGACCCATCCACATTTACATACTTGATCATGTGGTGCTCATCACAAAGTGTGGTATAGGTGATAATGCCACTTTACATGAGATATGCGGACAACCCATTCCACTGCCAATGTTGCAAGTGATTGATTCAACACCCACTAAACGCCATGGATTGTTCCGTATGCACAATCATCACAACAACCACACGTCGACATTGACATTTGTCCACACTGCTCGCGGCGATGAGTGGTCTTTTGCTTGTGAAAAGCATGTAAAGGATCGATGCCTGCAGGCTGTTCATGACGCACAAAAGATATGGAAAAGGAAAAGACATCTAATTCATCTTCGGCCAATTGATATTTCATCGTTTCGGATATCACAACCTGAAGATAGCAATGGCTATGATAAAGTACATTGCACGGTGCCAGTTGGTAAGTTTCATCACATGACATTGCCGATAGTGGATGGCTAATAACAACATTTACATAAACAGGAGATCGTATCTTGATCGGCACGGATACTGGTGTCTACATGAAGGCATTAGAGGATACCCATGTCAATTTGCTATTCTCAAGCGATTCCCCTATCGAGCAATTGAATGTCCTTTATTCAGCCAACATGCTTATTGTGAGAACGGGTAAGTTGACAATACACAGGAGGAGATCAATGACGCAAACGAAAAAACTGATTTTGGCAGCCAATCGCGAGTTGGCAATGTATAGTTTGGATAATCTATACATGGCGACGTCCAAGAGAGATATCGCTTCCATGCGAGGATACCCGATCCAAAGTGGTGTGTCTCAAGTTGCCATCGGCCACAATGATTTGTTGGTGTACAAAAAGAGGCAATCACGCCATGTTGTCCTAGCTGGAATGCAACCGAGTGATGAATTACGTGATCGTTCGTATCGTAGCCGATTTACTCTCTTTAGCCCTCCTTCATTTGGATACCATTCTCCGATGAAAAGCATGTTTCAGCCTTGCCCCAATATTCAGGTACGTTGCTTTATCTATTGCATCATGTTGTCGTTGCTAGGTACTTACAATAAGGGATAGGATATGGATGCTACCGGTGTTAGGCATGTTGGATTTGTGGATGAGCGTCTTTTGCTTGTATGCGATCATGATTTTGTGGTTATCGATATACACACTGGGATGGGTCAGCGTTTTCCAATGCAACGTGAACCTGGTAAACCTCTAGCCATGTGGTATTTGAGTGACACACGAATCCTCCTCTGCTATGATCATGGCGCTTTCTTTGTCAACGAAAATGGCGATGACTTTACAAGTTTGACCAACAACAGCAGTAGACAGTTATTATTCAAATGGGAATCCAGGCCTGAGCATGTGGTGCGTTTTCATGATTACATTGTTGGGTTTTCGACATCATTCATTGAGATACGCGAAATATTTACGGTGAGTGGTGATCTATTTTCTTCTCGTATTATCATGCAGTCGTTAACCAGGAATACATGTGTACTTCAAAGGGAGATTTGGTACAAGTTGAAGCAGCAAGTAGATGTAAACTCACTTTCCATGATGGCTCAACAATTCAAGCTTGCACTATTAGCAACAAGTATCCTGATCGACAGTTTTTATTTCAGCTAGAGCTTATACGAGAAAATTAAAGTGCTTAGAGTATCCCTGTTTGATGATATCGTGTTATAAGCCTTGCATTGTTGATATGCACATGTGTACATAGTTCTTCTCGTATACCGCTACTTTGACTGACTTTGATCTTTTATGGCTTTCCAAAGATGATAAGGCCTGCATTGTCCATACATGTTCATGAGTCAACTCCGGAGCTTTTCTTCATGTTTTTTAAAGCATCGTTCAAATTGTTCAGCTTTTCTTGAAGAGCCTTACATTCTATGCATGGATTCCTTGATTAGTTTCTGCGACCCAACGAGATATAAGGCTCACCATTAGCTTTTTGTGTCAACTCCACTTGCAACGTAGCAATCATAGACTCAAGTTCTCCTTCCTTTGATGACGTGAACAATGGTCGACAAGAGCATGATGCTGACTCTTGCTGATAGTTGTTGTTATTGCTGGAGGTAAATGTGAACATGGATAACAAAAAAAAAGAGTGTACAAGAATGAAAGAAGAGCATCATGTATATAGTGGTGTGAGTGATCCATATACGGGAAGATCCGCATGGATGTAACAAGTGTCCCAGATTAACATTGCTGCAGACGACCTCGAGGTCTGCCACACAAGGCTACAATAGCTGTAAACAAAAGAAACCCCCATTACTCATCTCCCTCATGTACACCACATTCTCCTTTCTAATGGGCTGTCAAAGTATTCATTACAACAACATGGACAATTTGATGAGCAACATGAACAAGTCAAAATATGTAATAAGGAATGGTATCAACAATGTTGTATTGATGGAAGTAAAATTGTCAAAAGGCTACCCTATGATCGATAGTTTGTCGCTCCACAATCCGAATACCAATATTGCCTTGACCATTTACGGTGTTCCCAGGGAACTCAAGTACTACTGCCGCTCGTCGTGGTTGGTTGCCTTCACGTTCACAAAGCACCCGTTTTGCAAAATCATATCGCCATAGCGTATTCCTGGACAGCAAGTCTTTGTGCTCCAAGCATGGTTTCAGGTATAACATTGGTATCTTCGCATACATGTGAATCAATTCATCGAGATTGCCAAGTGGTATCATCTCGGTCCCGTGCCTGACAGGGTTGTTGCCTAGGTACAACAAGGGAGGAGCTGTAAATACATGATGGGTTGCCCACTCTGAATGATTTCCAAGAGTCCGTAATAATTGAGGAGGCAACGTATACACCAAGTAATAGATGATAATGTTATCCAGTGTACGTATCCATGCTGATGATTGCTCATAGTCATTTGGTGATGATGATGGTGAAAATAAGGCGTGATGACCGACTAGCTCATTCATCCATGAAATCATTGTATCCTTGTTCAAGTGCTGATGTACGAGTTGAATGAGTTGTCGCTGCAACAATGGCAATTCGAGTGAATAAGCGACGAGAATCAAATCGCATATGCGTCGTACAGGTGGTTGATGTGATGGCATATAGAGCATCATGTACGTGATCTCATCCATTGAGAAGGGTTGATAGAGGTGTCCAAGTGCCAAATGCAAAGCTTCCCTTGATCCTGGTATGTAGACATTGATCATGTTCATCATATGGAATTGATTCGGAATAGAAGGTGCCATCAATCGACGATATAGCACTGGAGATCGCACCATGATGATTCGATGCATAGCATAGACCGTTTCTTGTACTGGAAAAAACACGCCAATATCTGAGAAACGCCCTGAAAGTGAAATGAGATACGATGATCCATTTATGCTTGTTCATGACTACTACTATACCTTGTTGAAATCCATTGAAAAAGACAAACTCACAAAATGCCTCTGGTGAATCTTGTTGATCAGGAAAGGGAGGAGGAGGAGGAGGAGATGTCATTGTCGGGTCGTCGTTACATGCAGGAAACATGGTGGTCGTCATAGGTGATTGGTGTGTTCTTGGTGTTGGAGGAGCCGATAAAGTAGCTGGTGAACTTGGGCTTGGATACGCATCTTCATAGACCATATCAGAGTCGAAGTCACCGTTGGCGAGTAGAGTTTGGAGAGAACAAGGTGAGGAATCAGATCGGTAGTAAGCCGTCATTGCACGCGCTTCGTGCATGTCAAGCACAATGACCGTAGTTGCTTGTAGCCAATGTCACAAGATCCGAATAGAGGGACACAACGATCGACTGTGAAGAGACAAAAGCTTGAAAGGGACGATGATATACGAAGATAGCAAAAGATAAGCGATAAAAGAGAGAGGGAGAGAATTGCGGTGTCAAACAATGGGAGACGCCCATGCATAAATCGTTCGTTCCACAGGTTGCCTTTCACGTCTTCCTTCTTCCTCTTCACTATATTTCACTCAACTGAACGATCACAATCGCATTCACAACAACTTGTTCGCTACGATTTGTTCTTAAACAATGAGGCAGCCCCTTTGGCACTCGTCTGTCACCAGCTATGCGAGAAAACTAAGGTTCGGCTTCTTTTTCAAGCTTGGTAACGCATGAGCAACTAGGATACAAGAGGTGTTTTCTTGATTTGATATTGAAGCAGCATGTCCATCAGCTTTGCCTATTACATAACGTCCATCAAACCTTCTTCATCCATCAACATACTCGCCGATACAGGTGATTTGGATCATGCTCTACCAATTCATCAAGATAAACAAAGAGTCGACGGGTCTATTCATTTTTAGATTGTGATTAACGATGAGGGCATTTGGTGAAATAAGACGGTCGATTTGGAGGATGTCACATTAGCTGCAATACAAGCAATCTTCACCTGGTTGAGCAGCCATGGAAAATGAAAAAGAAAGAGATAGCGCAATGGAGAAGGATCAGCAGCAATATTGGACTTGCAATGTTTATGGATGGATGGATGGAATCAAGTGCAGCGATGAGATACCCTGGGATGTTGCTATGGTTACTTGGCACATCGTCATCATGAACAATGAATCATGTCACGTGGAAACGGGTGAGGATGATGATGGGCTGGATGGAATAGACGAAAGATGTTTTACCGCCATGGATGGTATTGGAGTACTCGATTCGATGCATGCAGCAGCTATTGATGAAGGATGCTTATAACGGCACAGCAACCAAGAATACAATGACACGATTATCCCTGTTACCTCTATGTGATTCACTCCCATATCGTATTCAATTTGTAAGGCTGCTCCTTTATCTTACTTACTCCATAAACATCCACGATACCATGTGCTATTCTTCTACTTTTTCATTGAATGAAAATCGGATTCAACGTGAGGATTGGGGTATATTACTGAAAGCTCACATGTGCAAGATGTGGATCACGTGGTTGGTTTCCGGATTGAAAGGGGATACATAGAAGTTTGAGATTGGATCATTTGATTGTATCAAGATGCTCTTCTTTTGCAACAACAAGACAACATTGCTACCTTGAGAAGAGAAAAAAGTGAAGAGATCCCTCCATTGAGTTTCAGATGGGTGACTCATTCAATATGTATCGTTTTACATACACAAATTGGTTTATGCAGCTCGACTTTCTTCTACGTGCAAATGTGATGCATACCTTGACACACCTTCATTATTGGATGCTGTTTACTTACGTACCTTCACAAAAAGCAATCACCATCATCATCCATTTGTGTAGCAACCTGTCAAGGAAGCGTTAGTGTAACCACCACGTGCCGTTTCACTCAGCTCTTCATCTTTCCGTTAATGCAGCCGACACCATCCACTAGGAAAAAGCAATTCCATCACGCTTACAACATAGTAAAAACATAAAGACACCTGTATCTCTAAGCTTTACAATCAAACGTGGGGTTTTTATTTGAGCAATGTGCTCGGCTTGGCCAACTGCACCTTGGGTGCCAGTTTCACGATCAAGCTTGCCAATCCCAGATTTCGCAATGTCGCTACCAGCCAAACTGGATCTGGGGCTCAACCTCTTTCGACGACGACCAAAAAAATATTTTTTGGGCTGTTTGCGACATTGAACGCGAACCTTTCACACAAGGTGCTGTTGGCCAAGCCGAGCCCATTGCTGTAATAAAAACCCCACGTTTGATTGTAAAGTTTGGAGATACAGGCACCTTTATGTTTGTAAGTGTGATGCTATAAGAAGAGTGGTCTTTGTTCATTGTCAAGTAGGTGGACCCTGGCAGAGCAAAAGATGCAGAGGGTCGTGTTGTGTAACGCAGCTACGTTTGCATGAATGAAAGGGTCAATGTATAATTACTTTATGGATCATCTAGGAACAGGCATGTATTGCTAGCTAACGGCCACTTTTATCCAATCATCATTGTTGCGAGATCCACTGCATGGGAACGATCCCCCTGCTCCAGACATTCATTTCCATGATTAAAGTAGCTTGATCCGAGCTGATTTGGTTGAGTTACGCTCACACAAGATTACATCGGTTGAGCTACATCGAGCGTGCTTGATGTCCCGAGTGATGTAATCTCTCTTTGACCGCAGCTCAGTCAAATCAGCTCGGATCAACCTACTTTAATCATGGAAATGAATGTCTAGAGCAGGAGCATCGTCCATCTACAATAGAATGCACAAAAGTTGGGAATGCACAAAAGTGGCTATTAGCTGCCAATGTATGACATAAAAGTGAGGGTTGCGTACCTGTCATACATTGTCCCTGAAGTCCTGACTTTTTAGCTGAGTTACCCAAAGAGGTCCTTCTGCATCTTTGGCTCTCCAGGGTCTAGCTACTTGGCAATGAACAAAGACCACTTGTCATATAGCATCACGCTTACAAACATAAAGACGCCTGTATCTCCAAACTTTACAATCAAACGTGGGGTTTTTATTACAGCAATGGGCTCGGCTTGGCCAACAGCACCTTGTGTGAAAGTTTCAAGTTCATCGTGGCTAATCCCAGATTTCGCAATGTCGCCACCAGCCAAACTGGATCCAGGGGTCGACCTCTTGAAACTTTTTTCGACGACCAAAAAATATTTTTTGGGCTGTTTGCGACATTGAACGCGA